TGAAATATTATACTTGGTATATGGTGGTGAATGGATTCGATGGTGGTTAAAATGAATGTTTATTTCGTTGTTTCTATCGTATTTCCCCTTTTTTAGCTCACTTCGTCAGAAGGACCGGTGCGTCCGTCTGAAGTCTGTCTTCCGTCGTCCATAAACGTTTTCTTTTAAATCCGGTTCAATTCACAAACGACACAATGGATTTGACCAGTTGGTCTGACGCATCCCTATGCAATTTCTTCCCATTAAGTAGTGTGTCTCAATCATTTAGCGAGTTCTTAAAAATACTTCTTCTGTAAGAATGATTTGATTATGATTCCATTTGGTTTAAAACATCCTTTGGGAATCATTTTTAGAAGCAACGGGTTTCGGCCCCTGGGAGCAGGAGGGGCGGGACCTAAGGGAAATAAAGTAAATAACATATGTATTTAAATTTTATTTTCTTCTTTGGGAATGCATTGATTATGTCTCAAAATAATCTGAAGCATTCCTGGGTAAAATGTAATCAATTTTGAATAAGCGGTAGGGGTCGACACCCTAAGGCGGGAGGGGGAAATAGGGGGAATTTATAGAAATATTTTGAATGTTTTTGAAAAACCGGTTTTATCTAGATTGACTTTAAAGTTCCCAGAATACATAGTCTTGTTCTTTCTACCTTTGTAATGGTAAATATACATTTTTTCAATCGTTCATACTTTCTTTCGTTTTCTCGAGTATAAAGTAAGATTTCTTTAATATAATTTCATATCATATCCGTGTCAATGAAATAATTTCGCAATGTCATTTCTACAGTCTTCAAACTGATTTGCACAAAGAAATTAAACTGTTGTATGAATTGAAAACTGCACAAAATATAATTTACACAACTGATGAAGTCTTAACTACAGCAGAAAATTTCAGAAACTTGTACATTTCAAGTTAACTTAAATAAAAATGCTTTACAAAGGTATGACACGTCCGAACTAAAGTACATCAATATATCTTAATGCGTCCGAACTTAAAATGCTACACAAAAACAACAAGAAAATATCAGTAATTCAACATAACAATAATCCAAATTAAAATACATCAAAACTAGGGCAAAATATAAACAAAAGAAAAATTTGCACGGAGACTCATGAAAAAGTACAAGGAGAATAAGACCATGTGTTTCAGTAGATTAAGCGTCTTCTGCTTCATCGACTACACCCGCCATGTAATATTGGTCAGTCCAATTTACATTTCATACATCTTAACACGTTCAAACCGAACATGCTTCACAAAAACACGTATTGATATTTTAATATGTTCTAACTTTCATGCTAAACAAGTTTACATGTATATATAACACCTCCGAACTAAACCTGATTTATAAAATTTAACATTTAAACATGTTAACACGCTCGAAATAAACATGCTACACAAATTCACATTTATACATCTAAATACGCTCGAATTAAGCATTCTATACAAAATTACATTAATTGAGTCTAACACATCTGAACTAAACACCTTGCTCAAACTTAAATAAGCTTTACAGTGAAAATGCCTTGCAATGATGTTCTGTCGTCACCGTTTATAATTATGGTTACTGCCAAATAAGGAAATGGGTGGGGTGAGTATATAACTACACGTATCATGAAGGTGGATACCCAGGCTTGAATTAAATCATTAGGATTGACGAAGCATATCACATTAGATGTTTTAAAAATATCCATGAATTTTGTATCGAAGAAAGGAAACTATTGTATGAGTATCAGGGATATTAACCCTCAGTGAAAACGTCAACAAGAAAGCACATGGACATATGGACACGATATGTGTCATTAAATAATTCCAAATGATGAAGACTATTCCAAGGATAACAGGGAAAACAAACATCGGAGTTATATCTCTAGAGTTAAACCATCAAAGTTCCCTTCAAAATACATCTACTTACAGATAAAAGTCCAACCTTTCCAAGATACATCCATCAAAGAGGAGCAAATTACGAAACGTCGACAATGGCATAATGGAATCAAATCATGTTGGCAACATTCTATATAGCCTAAAGATATTTCATAAAATCACGGAACCTGAAGATATCCTGGGCACGCAATTGTTACTAATTTTCAACAAATCATAGAGTTAACTAAAATATCAGACAATTCAAGATAACAATGTTATGTTATTAAATGAGGAAAAAGTGTAAAACAACGGAACTATCAGGAAAAGTTATAACATGTACCAACGAGCATCGAACATATCTTAGTGTATATCGTGCAAGGAAATAAATGACATACACACAGCCACCCTCCCTTACCGTAACAACAGATACAGACATATCCATACAGTGACAACAGATACAGACATACCCATACAGTGACAACAGATACAGACATACCCATACAGTGACAACAGATACAGACACACCCAGTGACAACAGATACAGACACAACCATACAGTGACAACAGATACAGACATACCCATACAGTTACATTTAATTCTATATATCTCCATATATTTCCATTTACTCATAGAATGTATTAGAAATTAATTTTGTTCCGAGACTTTTCTATCCAACCGGAACTCCTCGCTCTTTTCTACGTGATTGTTACTACAGAGAGCCCCGATAAGTTCCGGATAACTCTGACGAGCCGAAGGAGAAGTCTGTGGCTCAGTGAGCCAAAAACTGTGAGTACCACTTGTGTTTAACCACTTTAACTGTAGATGACAAGACAATATCACATTTCTAAACAACATACTTTCATTATGTGTTGTGGTAATTTGAAAGAAATACACGTAATAACAAACTAGTGCCAAACAACTGTAAAACGAAAGCTGGGTATACTCAAATAGATCGAAGATCATTGATATAAAGGTATATTATGTTGTAATCTATAATATTTAACGGGAAACCATGAAATTTTCCTTTCTATTACATTTGTAAAGGAAAAACCGAATGAAAAGAATCACACAAACATAGATAAGCGGTGTACAAACACTTCCGAGAAGTAGTTTGCTGTGTTCTCGGTAGCCCGCCTCGTGTGGAATTGTCTACTTTCACTTTCGATAGTTAAAAATTGTGATACGACATGAATAATAAGATATATGTGCATGGTTGGAACCTGCTATTTATCTATAAAAACTATAAATGATTCATCGAAGGATATAATATTTTGTTATTTAAAATATTCTCTGTACAAAATGACTTAATATAAGACTACATGTTACATGGAAGTAGTGAAACGGGAGATCTGGATTTAATAACATTAAGAATGAAAATTCTGAAAGTGATGGGATATGAAGAAAGGAACGTATGCGTTCTTAGCAAAGTTTTGATGTTCTCTCTTGCCCCTGACGATGCCTTATTCTGTAATAGCGAATTTATCAAGTTACAAAACTACCGCAGAGATCTTAGGATACGTAGGTGACACGGCGAACGCACCACATGTATTCATGAATCTAATGACCAACTTAATAACGGTTAAGCTGACACTTCACAAAAGTAGACCGCCAACTACATATCAAAGGCACATATCATGGTAAATACATATCAAAGGTAAATACTTATCAAGGTAAATACATATCAAAGGTAAATACATTTCAAAGGTAAATACATTTCAAAGGTAAATACATATCAAAGGTAAATACATATCATGGTAAATACATATCAAAGGTAAATACATATCATGGTAAATACATATCAAAGGTAAATACATATCATGGTAAATACATATCAAGATAAATACATATTAAGGTAAATACATATCAAAGTAAATATATATCAAGGCAAATATATGTAAAAATGTCAATATCATGACACAATGTCTTTAAACGTGTTCCATAGTACTAGTTATGATCGGTGTCAATATTTGTGTCGTACGAGTCAAAGGTCAGTGGTTTCGTCGGGTATTGATCAAAACTATAAACTTTCCATATTGTAAATGTTCACAAATAAATGCAGTGGTTTGTCAAATATAACCAATTCTGTCCCAATGCATTTGCTGTATGATAAAATCGAACAGTATGATAACATTTGTATATTTGATAACAAATGTAGGTCAGTAAGGTACTCAATAGACACTAAAACTAAACATTTATAACACAGAAGGTCATAGGTCAGCTTATGTTTAATGTTTGTACTCTTCTTTGGGGGTTGAAACCCGTTTTAGCTTATTTATAAGATCATCCTTCATAATTTTTCATTGAATATTTTGTAGTTCATTTAAATATTTTGATAATTGTGCAATAAACAAACTCATATACTGCAATGCATATGATACAAACTTTGATTTTCATTAACAGGTTGTCGTAACCAAGTAGTGTTTCGTTGAATTAACTGTGAACTCCGTCTATTTCCGAACAAATTACTGAGACTGATTTATATAAGTTACCCAAATTTGTTTCCGGATCCAATATCCCGGGGTTTATTTTATTTTATTTATTTAATTTTTTCAATATTTTTTGTTGATTAATTATGTTACTCAATTTCAGAGTTCCGCTAGGTAGTTTTCTTCATGAAATACCTCACTCTCTGTCGATTAACGTAAGGAGAAAACGAAAAAAATGTATATGTAATATATTATCTACGTTCTCGTTACCATACTTATTTTTTCTTCGATACATGTTTTGTGAACAGTACGTGAATTACGAGTATTATAACAAAAAATCATATCAAATATAAAATAGGACGGACGTGATCAAGCTAGATAGTAAATAAAGTGTAGATAAGGGTTATGGAATATTTTGGCTTTGCGAAATAAATGTCATGACAGAGGCCATAACAGGGATGCTAACTGGGACTGTATCAAGTGGACGAAAGACTGACCCCGCCTCTTTGACGAGAAGGACGGAACAAAATTGTACAAAACATATCATGTTCTTAATTTCATGTCTCTGCTACATCCGATTTAGAATATAGCTATGTATCACATTCCTAATATAGAATTATGAAATTATTTTAGATACAAACTTTCACTTGACTTAATTATATATTTGCAACAAGATTTACATTCTATCGTAGGTGAGATCGTAAGTCAACATGGCTGAGGGAGGATCTGACTATGAGCCGTCGTCGCCAGATGACACCAGCAGTCAGTCCTTTGACTCACTTTTACTGGAATGTCCTATCTGTCTGGAACAGCTGCGACGTCCCAAGTCCCTGCCTTGTCTACATTCGTTTTGTCAGGAATGCCTGGATAACTACATCTCCAGGGAGGCGTCTGGTAAGATGGCGTCCTCTTTTTCCTGTCCTGTATGTAGGAAGGTCACCGAGCCGGTGAACCAGTCAGAAGAAAAGGAACGCTGGGCAGAGCAGTTTCCCACTAACAATCTGGCCGTAGAAATGATCCGACAACTACAGAAGACGGATCAGTCGATTCCATGTAAACCATGTGAGAACAAAGGAAGCATTGATGTACCGGCGAAGTACTGGTGTAAGATAATCAATACTTACTTCTGTGGCGAATGTAAAATCAACATACATGATCTGCTTCATGTAGAATGTGAAATGGAGAACGTAACGGAATTCACCAAATCTGCTATGATACGAAGAGAAGCCTCGATCCCTGGGTGTGGAAAACACAAAGAGAAGATGGAGTACTACTGCGAAGACCACCAGCTCCTTGGATGCAACAAATGTATCGTCGTAGATCACCGGAAGTGTGAGGAAGTGACGTCAGCAGAGGATTACCGGGATAAGTTAGTTAAAACATCGAAGGTTGACGATCTGCTCAGGATCTTAGAAAATGTACCGATGCCATGGAGATACTAATTAAAGATTTTGGCGAAAAACTTCATTCCATGAAACGGGACTACGAGACCGCTCTGAAAAGTATATCTGACTTCCGGAAAAAGATCGACGAGCGATTCGATAGCTTACAGAAAGAGATTACTGACGAGCGGAGGTCGAGTCCGGTAAAGAACTTGTACAGGAGTTGGAAAAGTCATCCAGATCTACAAATCTTAGGCATGAATATGACCCGGATATACTCGCCGTCAACGCCAAGACCAGTCTTTCTATGGGAAAGATAGTCGTTCATCAACAGCAGAGGAGACTTCCACCTACTGCGTTTAATACCGCGGTGCCATTGTCTGAACGCCACGTGAAGAAGATGGGGAGGTTCAATATCAGAGTTCCTTCAGATACAAATGACTGCCGCGCGAAGGGAGTTCTTCTTCTGTCTGATGGCCGTATTGTTGTAGCAGATGGTGAAAACAAAAAACTGAAATTGTTTACAGAAAATGGAGATTTTCATTGTGAGGTCAAATTGACTTATACATCTTATGATCTTTGTCGTATTCGTGACAACTATGTGGCGTTAATGATGGGCAAAGTTAAAACCATATGTGTTGCTAGTGTCGTCGGTTTAACCTTGAACAAGTTGTGGAGTTTTCAGATTCCCGACATTCCAGAAAAATGTCTTGGTGTCACATACAGCAACAAAGTGCTTTCGGTAGGCACTGGAAAATCGCTTTACAGCGTAATGGAAAAAAATGACGAAGCTAAAATCATTCACACGATTGAATCAAAATGCTTTAACCTCAGCTGTAATGATCAGAATGGACACGTCTTTGCTAGTATCTATACCACTACTCCTGGTGATTGTGCCGTGACCAGACTGTCTGACGGTACTAACGCGGACGTGCTGAAGGTCGGAGCCGTGAAGGGTGCAAAGGGAACTGACGTGGACAGGGAGGGTAACGTGTATATTTGTGGATGTTCTTCACACAACGTCATTCAGATGTCCGGGGAAGGAACCGATGTCAGGGAACTATTGACGTCATCAGATGGACTGAAATGTCCCAGAGCGATTTCCGTATTATAGTAATAACAAATAATTCGCGAGACCAAAGAAACTTTGTTCACATATTACAGCTCGTTTGACCTATGTACACGTTTTACCGCACGTTTAAACTTTGAACACGTGTTCCAGCTCGTTTGACCTTTGTACATGTATTGCAGTTCGTTTGACCTTTGTACACGTGTTTCATCCATTGAAACGTTGTACACCTGTTCCAGCTCGTTTAAACTTTGAACACGTGTTCCAGCTCGTTTGACCTTTGTACATGTATTGCAGTTCGTTTGACCTTTGTACACGTGTTTCATCCATTGAAACGTTGTACACCTGTTCCAGCTCGTTTAAACTTTGAACACGTGTTCCAGCTCGTTTGACCTTTGTACATGTATTGCAGTTCGTTTGACCTTTGTACACGTGTTTCATCCATTGAAACGTTGTACACCTGTTCCAGCTCGTTTAAACTTTGAACACGTGTTCCAGCTCGTTTGACCTTTGTACATGTATTGCAGTTCGTTTGACCTTTGTACACGTGTTTCATCCATTGAAACGTTGTACACGTGTTCCAGCTCGTTTAAACGTTGTACACGTGTTCCAGCTCGTTTAAACTTTGAACACCTGTTCCAGCTCGTTTGAATGATTAAACTGCAAATACTGTACTTTATAAAAATTTTACTTGTAATATAGAAATGACATAGTAACGAAATTCATCCTGAAGTGTTTTGACCACCATCTAATAACATTCACTCTCCATTGGGTTCTACAATGTTAGACAATCATGTTATTATGATCCCTTTAAACGTAGCTGGTATCGAATACACCATACATATCTTGCAGATGTATTTAGACAGTTTTAGCATCAGTCGTAGAATAGAAAATATCGATAGACTGATATAAAAGACAGATACTGTTCATATTATTCCATGCAGATACATAATATATTTCAACGTTGAAAACACCACGCTGACGATCATCAGAGGGTTGATGCCTGATTCGTTACTCGTCGGAGAAGAGAACTCGGCGACATATTGTATACATTTGGAGCCATTGAAGTCTGACGTCTATTCGATGACGTTTCAACGCTTGGAACGAAAACGTGTCTGAGAACTATGTCTGCGCATTCTAAGACTGTGTTTCCTGTGTCTCATTGACAGTTTTTGTGCAGGCTAGTACCTATTGCGCATGTGCTGCAGTACGAGGGTAAACAAATCTGTTGTTCTAACTTGATGTTAATAAATGATTACAATGAAATAATTCCGTTTTTTGCATCATATCGAATGTTTGGAATAAAACAATCCCGATATCTGTACTTTATTGAATGTTTGGAATAAAACAATCCCGATATCTGTACTATATTGAATGTTTGGAATAAAACAGTCCCGATATCTGTACTATATTGAATGTTTGGAATAAAACAATCCCGATATCTGTACTCTATCGAATATTTAGAATAAAACAGTCCCGATATCTGTACTATATCGAATATTTAGAATAAAACAGTCCCAATATCTGTACTATATTGAATGTTTGGAATAAAACAATCCCGATATCTGTACTCTATCGAATATTTAGAATAAAACAATCCCGATATCTGTACTATATTGAATGTTTGGAATAAAACAGTCCCGATATCTGTACTATATCGAATATTTAGAATAAAACAGTCCCGATATCTGTACTCTATCGAATATTTAGAATAAAACAGTCCCGATATCTGTACTATATCGAATATTTAGAATAAAACAGTCCCGATATCTGTACTATATTGAATGTTTGGAATAAAACAGTCCCGATATCTGTACTATATTGAATGTTTGGAATAAAACAATCCCGATATCTGTACTATATCGAATATTTAGAATAAAACAATCCCGATATCTGTACTATATTGAATATTTAGAATAAAACAGTCCCGAGATCTGTACTATATCGAATGTTTGGAATAAAACAATCCCGATATCTGTACTATATTGAATATTTAGAATAAAACAGTCCCGATATCTGTACTATATTGAATGTTTGGAATAAAACAAATCCGATATCTGTACTATATCGAATATTTAGAATAAAACAATCCCGATATCTGTACTATATTGAATATTTAGAATAAAACAGTCCCGAGATCTGTACTATATCGAATGTTTGGAATAAAACAATCCCGATATCTGTACTATATGGAATATTTAGAATAAAACAGTCCCGATATCTGTACTATATTGAATGTTTGGAATAAAACAATCCCGATAGCTTTATTATATCGAATGTTTGGAATAAAACAATCCCGATATCTTTATTATATCGAATGTTAGGAATAAAACAATCCCGATATCTTTATTATATCGAATGTTTGGTATAAAACAGTCCCGATATCTTTATTATATCGAATGTTTGGAATAAAACAATCCCGATATCTTTATTATATCGAATGTTTGGAATAAAACAATCCCGATAGCTTTATTATATCGAATGTTTGGAATAAAACAATCCCGATATCTTTATTATATCGAATGTTTGGTATAAAACAATCCCGATATCTTTATTATATCGAATGTTAGGAATAAAACAATCCCGATATCTTTATTATATCGAATGTTTGGAATAAAACAATCCCGATAGCTTTATTATATCGAATGTTTGGTATAAAACAATCCCGATAGCTTTATTATATCGAATGTTAGGAATAAAACAATCCCGATAGCTTTATTATATCGAATGTTTGGTATAAAACAATCCCGATAGCTTTATTATATCGAATGTTTGGTATAAAACAGTCCCGATATCTTTATTATATCGAATGTTTGGTATAAAACAATCCCGATATCTTTATTATATCGAATGTTTGGTATAAAACAATCCCGATATCTTTATTATATCGAATGTTAGGAATAAAACAGTCCCGATATCTGTTTCATTTCGAATGTTTGGAATAAAGCTATCTCGTTGAATGACAGTTTTGTACTGGTTAGACAGCCCACTATGATTCTCCTTCCACTACCACAGAAATACACGGCAACTTCTAGATCCGATATTGGATTTTGTCCAACCTATGTATTCTAAAATATTCCCAGCAAACAATACAAACATTAAGCAAGTTTCAGTTTTTTTTCTGATTATTACAAAAGTTCATACTCCGCGGTGCGTTTCAATGTACGTATGCCAGGAAGATCTCTTTAAGGCACCATTGTGTACATCGCCGACATAACGATTCTTCCAGTAGTACATATGTAAAAGTCCTACTTATTCTTATCTTAACCCAGTAGGATATGACTGTCCAATTTACAACATTTCTAGATTAAATCTTCTAATGATTAATTATACCCATAAAGGTCAAGAATTTTCCGACAGACGCCTATACTTGTCAGATTGGCCACAATCCTCGTATCTGGTTTGGATAGATTCATTCATTCATATTGATCACACTGACAAATGTGTGTACTGAAAAATTGTTAGCTGATCAAGGAAAGTCTCCTAGCTAATTTGATGACCAGTCTGGCAGCAGAGCGAGCTAACGGACACAAACCGTTTGGCAGATGATGCGCACCTCCGTCGATTAAGAAAAGACTAAAACGAATTTTTGAATAAATTCCAATAACAAGATCAATAATGCCTGCATATATATTACATGATCTGCATATAGAATCAGTGTTTGACATTGTATTTAAGGTTATGATTAGAAAACAGAAAACAATGAAAGAATTCGAAAAAAAAATTCAAAAAGCCAAAGGACATTTCCAGAAACGCAGTTTTCCAACATGTGACGTCCAGCATTTATCAATGACGTTAAATTCATCACTACGTCATAGACAACGAATTAGGTCAACAGGAAGGACGCATATTTTGAGCTATTTTGAATACCCCAGCTGAATGTTAATGGTTTCCGTTCCTGAGATTTCTATTAAATTTGATAATTATTCTTGTAGTTACATTTTTGTACTAAGAAGTTACAATATTAACGACAGGTCGACGAATTTTGGCGAAATGCAGATTTCGAAAATATACGTTTTCTTTGTTAGACAGAGCAGCCATATTGACACAGATATAGCGGTAAATCTTACAAAAAATACCCAGAATGACACTTCTTGAGCTTGTTACTGACTTTAATACTACAGAAATCAATATTCAAACAACAGAATACACGTAGGAACAGACAACCTATTTATAGCCAAGTTTCTATTTTCATCCATTTAAGAATCGAAAGAAAAATCCAACGAAATTTCCGATTTATATGGAAGACCAGGTGGCCTTACACTGCGTCTGAAAGTGGAATTCCGGGTCTAACAAAATAAGTGATTGTTGAGGGATGAGGTTATGTCAATGTCCTGTCGATATCGGAGCTCACTATGAACAAAAAATACAAGTGATTTCTATCCTTATCACGATGTTTTCTTATTCGTATCAAAACAAACAGGAGAGTCTTATTGTAAATTATCGTGGATATCGAGAACGTGACGAATAAAGTAGTCGTCTCGCGTTGTGTCCGACCACACTACACAAACATCTCTGTAGGAGCAGCAGAGCGACCATCACTCATTATATGGTGTAAACTGCGTTTACGTCAATTGACCATTAATAAATCGGTACCTTTTTTCCTTGAATGACGTTTTAAAACAAGTTCGAGTATTTAAAGTGAGTAAAAAGTGGATCTCCAAATAAGGAGAAAGCCATGCTTGATCACGACCAAGATGACTGCATACAAATGTTTGTTTTATTGGACCTAATATCACATTCAATATGACCTATTCTATGCTGCTACCGTGACCTAGTTTTACCGCCATCATCATTTTACTGTGACAATCATGACCTACATTTACATTTCCTTTCTCAATAAATACCTATTTTTATAAACATTTGATTAAGGTACAGTCACACCTACCTTAAAAATCACCTTTATTGGAAAAACAACATATAAAGGTCACTGGTTCCCGGTCTGAATGTGATAGAATTCAGACCAACTGAACCTCTAGAATGGGGACACTTGTATATAATAATTTTTAAAGTGGCCTTTGAAGACAGGTTTGATAGCGGATTAATCTTGAAATAGTTATTCTTATGAGAGTTTAATGCAGAATTCGGCAACTAGGGGCATATAAAGAGTCTGAGACAGAATAGCAATTGCGGGTCTTTCTCCTGGGAGCCACGATTGACATAACGAATGCCCGCCATTAAATACGTTTATTTCACTGTTGCCCAGGGACGAAAAGAATCCTTTTAGCTAAATAGAGTCATGCAGGCAGCTACAGATATTCAGGACGAGTATTAGCCAAAAAATGGTTTAAGAATTTTTTAGTAAAAGATGTAGAATTGAGTCGGTGTTGTTCGGAAATATAAGCCAAACAATGATTGTCCGTATAGCTTACGAGGACGGATGTTCAAGGAGACACCAAAAATGAAAACTGACAATATACAAACAAAGAAATACACAGAAGTTACCATGGTAACAACAGCACATTTTTGGTCTCTTAGTCATGTTGTCACACTAAATATAACACAGAATACATTCCATGTTTTATGGCTAAAGAATGCTGCACTTGAGAATATTTACGTGGAACTGCTAGGTCGACAAAACAGTGGGGGAGTGTGAGAGACCGAACCTAAAATCGGTGACGTAATTGCTACTTCGCGCATTGATTTATGTAGAAGTTGA